TCATTGTTTAAGTCTTGCTTAAATCATTTAGGTGTAAGCAAAACAAAAGTTAAACCATTCATTATTTCATTATCTGTGACGTTTATACATAACATAATTCATTAATCAATCATGTTTATTTTCCTAAACACAATACTTCAGTTACTTTCAAATAAAACAAGTAAAAAGATGAATCAAGCCAACTGACGGCGTCTCTGTTGGTAACTTAGCACTGAAGCAGGGTAGCAGCAAACATTTCTGTCAGGCTTGAAAAACCATACCTGGGACTAAAACAAGGCCTACAGATGGGTACCTAAAAGGAAGTTTCCCCTTTACATGTGTCCAAGCCACCACACCCACCCAGGTATACTACAGACACTGCCATCTAGTGCCAAATTATGGAGGACCGAAACTAACATAATTATAAATAAAAGCAGAAATATAAAAAATGGACCAATAAATAAATACACATAAAATGCACCAATGTTTTATCGTTTGTTATACCTTCATATTTATCTTTCCAGTTTAGTTCCAATAAATTATTTATTTTAGCACGTAATTTACATGTTACTGTTTAATAATATAGAAAACAATAAAACTGAGTTTAGCTTGAAGTTTAAAGTTTAGTTTAAAACAAAGGAAAGGAGGAAAACACTTATAAACTAAACTTTAAACTTTAAGCTAAACTGAGGCAGCAGCAGCATGCGCAGTAGATCTGCACATGGATCCTGCTACTTCCTGTCTGTAATTATGCCAGTTTCGGTCCTCCGTAGAACATCATTATCACGAATATAAAGAAAACTAACTAACTAACTAACTAACTAACTAACTAACTAAACACATTTTGACTCAAGATACAAATGAAAAAAATGTAAGATATAATAAATATTTTATAGTACTGAAGAAATTTATAGTTATTACAGATTAGTACTGATGTTAAAAGCACAACACTATATTTTTAGGTTTTCCTGTTTATAATGGTTAATCTATAATGTATTGATTGATATAGATTAGTTACATGTCCGAAATATCTATAACAACACATATTAATCCGTTATGGAAACATCAGGGAAGAATTGTGTATGAATGCCTGTGATTCAGCCGTAGGTCAGTAGGGGGCGAACACGGGCATTGAAGACTCTATAAATAGATCAACTTCCTGGTTTTTCAGCAGTGTGTGGTTTCCTGTCAGATCCGAATGGCATTAAGTCATCACTCCCAGAATTCTGGTTTTGTATGGTTTTATCTTGTCCAACAATCATATTATTTAACATTGGTGGTTTTCTACTGACTTAAGTCTTTGAACACGAATATTCTTACAGTACAAAAACAAAAGTCATATTGCTTCATCCTCAGTTTCTGTTCATGTATTGATCTCTGAATGAACTCAGGACTCGGAGTAAATCAGCAGTTGCAGTTTTAGATTACCTGCGTCACATACTTACACAATTTTCTGTGTTTGGAAGGAGCTGTGAGGGAAAACCCATGATGCCGAAAGAACGTTTAGGTGCCAAACCTCGGAGAGGGACTGCTGGGGGAGCTGGTCACCTGTGTCACTGTCAGCCTTCAGCCGGCCTTTCCCTGACCGAGGAGAGGTTTCTGGCGGCCGTGGAATACGGCAACCTTCCCAAAGTGAAACGGATGCTGGAGGAGCTCCCACACCTCAATGTCAACTGTGTAAACTACATGGACCACAATGCACTGCAGCTGGCAGTTGCCAGGGAACATTTAGACATTTGTAAGCTTCTTCTAAAAAAGAAAGAACTTGCCAGAATAGGGGATGCTTTGCTGTTAGCCATCAGTAAAGGTCACAGCCACATAGTGGAGGTCATATTGAGCCATGAAGCCTTAGACAGTCAAAGGCTGACCAGTCTCAGCCACTTGGATGGTTTGTTTTCTCATGATGCTGAAGGCACATGTTTCTTTCACGGCATCAGTCCCATCATCCTGGCCTCCCAGTGCCACCAGTATGAAATAGTGCATATGCTTCTGACCAGAGGGGCCCGCATCGAGCGGCCCCACGACTGCTTCTGTCAGTGCAGGACTTGCTGCGAGCGGCGAGGGCGTGACGCTTTTAGCCACTCCAAGTCTCGAATCAGTGCGTACAAAGGCCTGGCCAGCCCAGCGTATCTTTGTCTTTCCAGTCAGGAGCCGGTGATGGCAGCACTGGAGCTGAGCAATGAGCTCGCGGTCCTGGCAAACACTGAAAAGGAGTTTAAGGTGCAGTATTAGAACTACATTGTGCTCATTATTTTTCTGTTTCTAGAACATTGGGCCTCATGCAAAAACATGTTCGTATTCTTATCCTAAATTTCTCTTACTTTTGTTCGTACAAAGGGTTCGTACGAACATGTCACGTCAGATTCAACAAACTCTTCTATCTTCAGGAAAAGTGTGTAAATGAGCTGCGTAAATTCCACCTGTTCTATCCAGCTGCTCGTGCACGCGAGAGGAGATTAGCATAATTACCACCCCAAAAACACCATATAAGGCTATGTTTCCTGCCTCAGATATCAGGAAGTGTCCATTCATGAAAATGGCAGTGAAAATTTAAAAAAAAAAAACTTTACGAGTTCAGAGATTGAAGTCCGTCTGTCAGAGATCCAGAAAAGTAAATCTGTCATTTTTAGCAGGTCAGCTGTGGAATAAAAAGAGCTGCTAAAAGTATAAACAACTGGGTTAAATTATTCAGAAGCCACACCGTTGCGCACCGTATAGAGTGTAATTTATTTTCAACTCAAAATATCTTCAAACTAACGAAAAATAACGTTTTTAGGGAGGAAAACCCGTCTGGATAACAGCAGACTGATTGCTCGTAAAATATACGACAGGTCTGGACCACTCGTAAATTTTGTTCGTATCTGAAAAAAATCGTAGAATACGAAAACATTGCTGAATGCCACAAATTCTCCTAAATCAGTCGTACGCACAACTTAAGAACAAATCTGTGCGTACGAACGGTTCTTGCATGAGGCCCATTGTATAGCTCTGTATGGGAAATAAATCTAAAGAAGTGGTTAAAGTGAATATATGTGCTCAAATTTTTTACTGAAATATATTAAAACTATGGAATTGATACAGTTAAAACAATAAACAAATAAATAATAAATAAATAAATAGTCATTAAAAAACAGCAAGCACAGTATCCAAAAGCTAAAACCGAAAGAGTAATAGATGAAAGCAAATCAGTAGATAAAATTGAAAATTAGCAAAACAATAGCTAAAAGTTAAAATATGAAAAAGCAGTTTCTGTAAATGTTTGACGCCACTGATGGTTTTGACTTTCTTTTTTCTTTCTTTTTTTGTTCTTTTAGTCACTTTGGACCCATGTGAGTCTTTAATAAAATAAAAAGAAAAAGTTAAATAAAAACTAAAATTGACAAAACATTGGCTAAAAGCTACAAATAAAGCAAGCAAGCTGCAGATTTTAAAGGATTTGATAAGTTATTAATTTCATTAAAGAAAAAAGTAAGTAAAAAAATTTTTTTTAAATGTAATGTCCAAAACTCAAATACCACTGCACTGAATGAGCTGAAACGTCTGATATATGATCACATTGAACAGAGTTCTAAGTAAGAGTTCTTCAATGCTGAAGCAGTTGAGTAAAAAAAAAAAAAAATAAATAATTAAAAACAGGGAAACAAGTATAAATGCTGACACAGTTGGAAAGCTTTTTTAAGAGTCATAAAAACACTGTCTTTGTTGTCTCTCTGTGTGAGACAGAACGAGTACATAAAGCTGTCTGTGCAGTGTAAAGACTTTGTGGTGGGACTCCTGGATTTGTGTCGAAACACGGAGGAGGTGGAGGCCATCTTAAACGGTGACCCCGAGTCCGGTGCCGACTCTGACACCCGCTGCAGACCAAACCTCATCAGGTTAAAACATGCAATAAAATACGAAGTAAAAAAGGTAAGCAGGTAATACGGACAAAGTAATGTGTTTCTCTCTCCATCTGTATTTTCTTCTTTAAAAACAAATATTCCTGTCTGTCTCGAAGTTTGTGGCTCATCCAAACTGCCAGCAGCAGCTGCGCTCCATCTGGTACGACAACTTGTCTGGACTGTGTCAGAAAACGTTGGCCTTTAAAATCCTCCTGGTCCTGGGTGTAACTGCTGGACTGCCTATCCTGGCTTTTATTCACTGGATCGCACCGACAAGTAAGGTGAGCCACAGAATAGGTTATTGTTTCTCAAAGGAAGCATTTAAGAATCTGTTAACACAACTTAAATGTCTTAATAATTCAGGATGTGTAACTGTTTAGTTGGAAACGTGGTATACTTTCACCTTACTGACTGTGAATCAATTACATACAATAAAATACACTTTTAAAGGTATTATCAAACTAAAAAAATAATGTTTTTTTTAATTTTTCTTTGCTATCCTGCGAGATCAGTTGGGCCGACTTATGTGCGGCCCCTTCCTGAAGTTTGTGGCTCACACGGCTTCCTTCGTGACCTTTCTGTGCCTGCTGGTCCTGAACGCAGCAGACCGCTTTACGGGAACATCCCTGCTGCCCAACATGACCGCCCACGACTACCCCTCCCAGCTCTTCCGGATGAAGACCACCCCGTTCACCTGGATGGAGATTCTCATCTGTTCTTGGGTCATAGGTCAAGAGTCCACGAATATTTTCCATCACAATTTATTCTGAATTCACTCTATCGGGTGTAAAGCAAAATTTCCCCATCTTTTTGTTTATTATATTCTATCTCGATTGAAATCACTTAAAATTACGGCATGCAGGTAAAGTAAAAAATAAATTTTGGGGACATTTTAAGCAAATTCATCTTCATGTTTATGATATGCAACATAAAACTGAAAAAAATTTCCAAAAAAAAAAACAACAAATGCAGTTGAACATTTTTTTCCATTGTCCTATAGGTGAGCACTTTAAACTTTATTACACGTTTTGCTGATATAAAGTCACAGTAAATTATGTGATTCCAGTTTCATTGGAAGCGTTTGTTCATGAAGTTTATCCATGTCATACATTGCTTTGTTTTAAAGTGAGATCTCCATACATTAATGCATTTTTTCCCCTCAACAGGTAAAATATGGGAGGAATGCAAAGTTATTTGGTCACAAGACATCGGAGAGTACATCTCAGAACCCTGGAACCTTCTTGACTTTAGTATTTTGTCGATATTTTTGACCTCTTTCGTGGCCAGGTTAATGGCTTTGTGGCACGCACGTTCTGCACAGTGTTACTTTGACAAGTACTACAGAGACACGTCCAACATGACCTTACCCTTTGAGATACAGTACTTCCAGCTGGGTAAGTGTGGACCAAAGAGATCAGTTAAACAGAAATTGTGAGTTATGTTCGTTGCATAATCAAAAGTTTTTGGTCCACTTGTTTGGTCCGGACCAAATAGTGGAATTTATTATTTTCCTTTGGTGCAGTTTGCATTCATATTGTGCTTTTGTTGCAAGTGGACTATAATTTGCAAGTGATGGTCATTTCTCCCACTGGACAGAAATGATGGGGGGCAGGACTGAGCCCAGACCCTAAAATAAAGATTCCCACCAGAAGTGAACTGCACCAGAGTTCATTTGGAAACGGACCGAGACCACCTCAAAAAAGGGTCTTGGCAGTGGTGGGCACAGTTCCCCTAAAGCACTAATAGGGGAACTAATTTCTTGATTAGTGCTTTAGGGCTTTTGCTATTTTTTAAATTCATTGGTGGATTAGCACTTGCTAAATTTATGGGCTAAATTTAGAAGCACTAATCGAGGTCTTTAAATGTTATTGATCAACATTATTGTCCACAGTTGAGGGTGAAAGCTGTCACACATTTTGTTCATATGTGTGTATCTACAAGGTCACATGTGTCAAACTCAAGGCCAGCGGGCCAAACGTGGCCTGCAGGTGACTCCCATTTGGCCCATCAAGGACAACAAGTGACAACATTCTGCACACAGTAAATATTATCTTAAGTTGACTCTGAAGAACGTTTCATGTGTCAACTGGATTATATTAGTGCTTTAGAATTAGCTTTTGCTAAATTTTTCAGTGGGTTAGTGCTTTAGAATTAGCTTTTGCTAAATTTTTCAGTGGGTTAGTGCTTTAGAATTAGTGGACCTAAATGGTTGAGTTAGTGCTTTAGGGTTAATAATAGTTTTATATAATAATGGTTTTAAGACTAAATAATATTTAGATTAGTGCTGCCCACCACTGGGTGTTGGTCTGGTTGTTTGATCTGCTCCAGGGTTCACATAAAAGGTCCGGACCAACAATGGGAAACAAACTAATGTCTGTTTAAAGCGGACCAAATGTGTCCGGTGTGAAAACACGATGTCTCAAAGTTCTGACTCTGAGCACCTCTCTTCCCAGCGAGAGTCCACTGGATGCCCTCGGACCCGCAGCTCATTTCCGAAGGCCTCTACGCCGTCGCCGTCGTTCTGAGTTTCTCTCGCGTCGCGTACATCCTGCCCGCCAGCGAGAGGTTCGGGCCTCTGCAGATCTCCCTGGGGAGAACCGTGAAAGACATTTTTAAATTCATGGTGATCTTCGTAACCGTTTTTGTCGCGTTCATGGTGGGCATGTTCAACCTCTACTCGCACTACCTCGGGGCCAAGCGCAGCGTCGCATTTACAACGTGAGTGTGAAAAAACTGCATTGTGTTTTTATACTTGAATACGTAGTGATTCCAAAGTCCACGCTGCGACTGAACTTTTTATTTTCCCCCTTTTCCTCCAGAGTTGAAGAAAGTTTCAAAACCTTATTCTGGGCCATCTTTGGACTGTCAGAAGTGAAATCAGTGGTGATTACCATCGACCACAAGTTCATTGAGAACACAGGTTATGTTCTTTACGGCGTGTACAACATCATCATGGTGATAGTTTTGCTGAATATGCTCATAGCGATGTTCAACAGCTCCTTCCAGGAAATCGAGGTACGACTTAATCACTGCCTTTATAAATTATTCTCCATTTTCGTTTTCCTCTCATGTGCTGTCTAGTAATACAAACCCATTACCAGTCATTATCCACCTGGCACTGATGTTTTGCTCATTCTCTTGTCCCTCATCCACCTGCAGGACGATGCGGATGTGGAGTGGAAGTTTGCCCGAGCCAAACTGTGGTTCTCCTACTTCGACCACGGTAGCACCCTGCCCGTGCCCTTCAACCTCGTCCCCAGTCCCAGATCTGTTGCTTCCCTCATGGTGAGCGTGAAACACCTTCTCTGGGATGCAACTAAAGGCAAAAGCAAAGAAACCCCAAATGATGAGATGGAACTTAACAATGTAAGACTGCTAAATAAATATTTTACACATAAAAAACATGTTTCTGGATTTAAAATAAAAGTAATGTTTTATTAAAGGTTAGTGTTCTGCACTGCCCCCTACTGTTATATTTATGCATCACAGTTTTATGTGGAGTTGCGAAGCAATTCTCACGGTTTGTTTCCATTGTTGTATAAATCAGTGGTTCCCAAACTTTTTATCTTCTGACCCACAAAATATCCATGGCAAAAACTTGTGACCCCGAATATTACTGGTCTGAGTACACAAACTTTGTTAATAACCCTAAAAACACAGGCTTTTTGACAGTACTATATAAACAGTTTGTACACACATATAAATACTTAATTATAGTTATTTTGTGTTTTTGTAATAGTTATAGGGAAAATATTACATCAGCAATTATTTTAATACCATTTAAACTAATTTCTGGAGATTATCCAAGGTGCTTCATGACCCATAATTGGGTCCCAAGCCCAACTTTGGGAACCAAAGTGCAGTGGTTCCCAAACTTT